TCATTAATATAAACATTTTATTTGCTATAAAAATTAATAAAATTATAATTGCGCGATCATAAAAAGCTTGATTGTAAAGGGGTGCTTATTTACGGGTCCTATATATAACTGGGGGTGCTTATTTTCGGGAGGTGCTTACTTTTGGAAGAATACGATAATTATTTTATAAATATTAATTTAATATTAATAAAAATTTAAATTTATATAATTTAAAATCAATAAATAATTATATTTAAAATATAACAATAATTTTTTTTGATTAAATTATATTTTAAAACTATTAAATATAAAATATTTTTTTTTGTAAAAAATAAAAAAAATTGATTAAAATATAATAAATCTATTATATAAAGTTTACTTAAATTTAATAGATTATTATTAAATTATTATTATAAGTTTCCAATTTTATAATATACTAAAAATTAATGTAATATAATTCTTTTAATTATTTAATTAAAAGAATTTTAAAATAAATTAATAAATACTATTTTTAAATATTATTATATATAAAAAAATATTTTTATAATTTTTTTTATTATAAATTAAATTTTTTTTTATAAATTTATAAAAACTTAATCTAATAATAAATTTATAATAATAAATAATAAACCAAATATTAATTATTTTTAATTTTTATAATATATATTTTTTTTTCAAAATTATAGGTAAATTTGCTTACAAAAAACTTATAAAATAATAAAATTAATAATTGAGAATTTATAAAAATAATAAATAATTATTTAATAATCAATATAATAATTTAAAAATAAAAAAATATTAATATTAAAGATATATTAATTTTAGATAATATTATAGATTTTATATTATTACTTTTTGATAATATTATAAATTATATAAAATTTAATATCTAATTTATTTTAAAAATAAGAATAAATAAAAAATAAATTATTTTTAAATAAATAATTAAATAAGTTTAAAATTAATTAAAATTTGATTTTTGTTTTAATAAATTATTTAAATTTTCTTTAGCTTCTTGATATCCATTTTCTATTGCCTTTTGATACCAATGAATAGCTTTTTCTAATTTTTTATTTGTTCCTTTTCCATTTTCATAATATATAGCTAAATTATACATTGCATTATTATTATTATTTTTTGCTGCTTTTTTATATAATTGAAAAGCTTTTTCTAAATTTTGTTCTATTCCATTTCCATTTTCATAACAAATAGCTAAACTGTATATTGCATCTTTATTTCCATAATCTACTGCTTTTTTATACCAAATAAAAGCTTTTTCCAAATCTTTTTCTATTATTTCTCCATTTTCATAATATTTAGCTAAATTATACATAGCATTACCATTATAATTTTCTGCTGCTTTTTGATACCAATGAAAAGCTTTTTCTAAATTTTTTTCTATACCTTCTCCATTTTTATAACATATAGCTAAATTATACATTGCATCATGAATATCATTTTCTGCTGCTTTTTGATACCAATAAAAGGCCTTTTTAAAATTCTTTTCTGATTTTTCTCTATTTTTATAATATGAAGCTAATTTATTTATTGCATATATATTATCTTCTTTTGTTACTTCTTGATAATAATGAAATGCTTTATTTAAATTTTCTTCTGTGCCTTCTCCATTTTCATAATATATAGCTAAATTATACATTGCAATTTCATTACCATTTTCGAATGCTTTTTGATACCAATAAAAAGCCTTTTCTAAATTCTTTTCTATACCTTTTCCATTTTCATAACATATAGCTAAATTATTCATTGCAAATTCATTATCATTTTCTGCTGATTTTTGATACCAATAAAAAGCTTCTTTGAAATTTTTCTCTGTACCTTTTCCATTATCATAACATAAAGCTAACTTATACATTGCATTTATATTATAATTCTCTGCTGCTTTTAGATACCAATAAAACGCTTTTTCTAAATTTCTATTTGTTCCATTTCCGTTTTCATAACATATAGCTAAATTATTCATTGCATCTTCATTATCATTTTCGGCTGCTTTCTGATACCAATAAAAGGATTTTTCTAAATTCGTTTCTGTAATACCTTTTCCTTCACTATAATATGATGCTAGAATATTCATTGCATCTTCATTACCATTTTCCGCTGCTTTGTTATACCAATAAAAGGTTTTTTCTAATCTTGATGTTTTATCTTCATTATTATTATATATATTTTTATCGTATAATAAGGCAAGGTTATATTGTGCTGTTAAATTTCCTTTGTTTGCTAATTTTTCAATTAAATTAAATACTTCGTCTTTATCTTCATTATTTTCCATTTCTAATTTATCATTCTTATTGATCAACTCTTTTAATTTTTTGCTAATACATAGAGGATAATCGAATTCAACTTTATCTTTATCAATTGCATTAATTAATTTGCGAACTTCATTAATAGGTAGATCATAATAACTAAAATAAAATAAATAATAATCAACAAAAATCAACGAGAAAATATTCAATAATAAATTTTATGCTTACATCCAATCTGGAAACCATTCCTTTTTACGTTTTTGGTAAGGTAACATATAAAATAATTCAATCTCCACAATGACCTATATATCAATTGTAATTAAATTTTAAAATAAAAATTCTTTAATAAAGTTATATAATATAAATCATTATAATACCTTTGCTTTTTGAAGCAAGAATTCCTCATACTTGTTATAATCTTCAATTGCCATGTTTAGCAATCCGATAAATAAGTTCATAAGATAAATCACGGTAAAGAATGTGAATAAAACTAACAATATTGTCATTGTAGGATTTTCACGGTAAGTCAATGACGACAGGGAACCGGAATCACCTGTTTGGTTTTTTTTTAAAAAAAAAGAATAAATCAGAAACACGATACAATAAAAATAAGCAAATTACAGTATTTACCTGTAATAAATAAATACATTGCTAAAAGTGAAGTAGGAAACCAATTAAACATATTTGTATTTGAATCAGTTGATTGAATCAATATAGTCTCATCTGAATTAACAGAGTTAAATGTATTTGCAAGTTCCGATGGATTAGTTAATCTTAAAAGAATGAAAAATGCATGAGAAAATCCGAGTACGAAAAAAAGTAAGACCACCAAAAATGGGAAAACTTTTTTGCCAACTCCGATCATTATGATGAAATAAACTCCAAAAGATTTAAATACTTGAAAGAATAATAAAAATTTAAAATTTAATAATAAATTAGAAATTGCTATTAAAAAAAGGGACGGTTCCCCATTAGAAAGCCAATATATAGATGTTATAATGGGTAAGGAATATGCTCCTATATCTATTAATAAGAAAGGGATTAACTATTTTGCTTTTTTTTTAAAAAACAAAAAGGGTATCAATATAAAATACTTATATTAATTTACTTACCAAAGTAATTCCATAGATTTTTAAAGTAAATGTTCGGTCTCCATAAACATTGTCGAAATTCAAATGTTAAATGTACAAGGCCAAGTAAAATAGAAATTATAAAAAGTATATTACGATAAAAATCGGCAATAGAGTTTTGTTCTAATGTAGAAGCAATTGCAAAACACAGAAAAAAGACAGTATAAAAAATCCAAATGCAATAATAATAATATTTTCCAAAAGTATTCCATTTAAAATCTATAATAGCAGTAAAATTCCACCAATTGTAAGAATGATCTGAATCAATATTACAAAAAAGTATAGATTTCGGCTTAAATAAAAGTTCATTCCAAGAGTTTCCACCATAATCATCATCTTGATATTTACAAATTTGAGGAAACAAGACGACAAAACTAATTTTTCGAATTTTCTGTTGTATTGAATGATTTTTATAAAATGATTGTATTAAAGCTTTAAAACGATTATGATTTGATTCTTTAATACAAACATTCTTGGAGTAAGAATGAAATGGAGTATTTTCCAAATTTTTAATTGACAAACAAGAGGGATCCAATATAATGGAGGTATATAAGATATATTTGATAACTAAATTAGAATAACGATAGAAATCATGATCACATAATTTATGTAGTTTAAGACTAATGATGTAAGGTAATAACATCATATGATTTGTTGAATTATTTTCATTTTCTTGGTCGATCAATCTGATAATCTTGTTGAAAATTGATTGGACGATATAATCATTCCTCTTATCAATTGCTATATCCAATATTTCTGATCCAAATTTTGAAAATTCTGCTGGATTATTTATAATATTCAAAAGTAAAATCTTGTAAAGATTAATTGGATTGTCCAAACTCTTTACAAATAATACTTTTTCGTAGGGATCATCCAGATCATTGACATCACAATTTTCAAATATTATTATAAAGTTCGGTGGTGGTAACGAAGAAAATGAGTCAGAAAATTCTTTATTTAGAACTTCTTGAATAAGATCGTTAATATCGATTTTAGACCCGGATTGTTTGTATCTTTTCCAATTCTCATTCCAATTCTCATTATTCCAAAAGTATCGAAGAGTTAATATATCTCCGTCAAGTGTATAGATAAAGATTCCTCGTTTAGTAATTAAGGCCAAATCCTGATTATTTAATTGTTGATATGAAAGTATATCAATAGATCGATGAGAATCACAGTTACGCGTTTCTTTCCATTTATGATCATGTGATTTATTGAATCCTTTAATCACAAAAGAACCTTTATCATTATTTTTAAGCTTAAACCGAAAAAGTTCTCCGCGTACCAATCCGACCTTATCAATTTTGTTGATGCCGTTAAGGATATCCTTAAGCATATTTTGTATGGTTTTGAAGATAGCTAATGTGTAAATATTACTGTGATAGGTATTCTTTAATATTTGTTCAAACGTGTCTTCATTCAACCCATCTGAAACGCAAACATTATTTTCGACAATGGAAAATTTTCTGTTTGACATATTTATGATAACGTTCCTAGGATCGTCGATGATATTGGTAATATCAATCATTGTGTCAGAAGGAAGGAAAGGATCTACGAACTTGCATGATGTTTCGTCAGAAAGTTTTTTATAAATAATTAATCCTTCAGAACCATCCTTTAAAGTTACAAATTCTACTGCTTCATAGTCATCCGAATATCTTGAAACCTGTATTCCGGTTTCTATTGAAAAGATGTAAATTACTTCCTTAATGTTTAATGCCAACAATGTTTGATTTTGATTCATTACAATATTAGATAAACTCCGATCAAGATCGAACGTTTTATAACTATCAGATAAATGGTATTGCATCTCAAAACTCATTGTTGATAAATCCAATTGAGTTATCGTTGTCACGGTATCATATTCATAATATTTAGTCGTCGTCGAAACAAATAATTTTGTGATGTTTGCTGTTTGATATATTAAACAATCTACATATTCATCACTCCTTCCCGGAATGTCTATGTCGTATACTTTAGAATATTCCCAAGGTGTTCTATCCGTTTTTGGCTTACTTTTAAAAGAATACAAGTAGATTTTGTAATCCGTTAACGATACTAGGACTAAATCCCCATTAGGAAGAAACCCCACTGACTTTTCTTGAATGGTATCAATTTCTTTATGCCTATTTTTCTCAATTGATTGCATTTCTGCATGCTTTAGTTGAAGAAATTGACATTTGCCACCGTTAAAGTCAACAATGCCTACAAAATATTTAATTATTAATTAAGCATACAATGTTTAAAATTGTATATATTACCTCTTAATAATACTTACGATAACAATGTTCATTTGCTTTATAATAATAGTATATCAAAATTTTTTTATATAATACGAATGAACTAATTTTATAGGGGTCATAAAGGACGAAATTCTTATCGTGTTGTTGTTTATCCTTTTCAATGTCAACTAACCATCCATTAATTGAATTATCAAATTCACTATAAGTAACAACATAACTCATATCTGGAGAAACCACCATCCGATCAATTAGTTTCCCATTATGTGGTCTTGGTTGATTTTCCGAAAGAATATCTATTGCAGTTTCATTATTATCTTCGAGAGATTTTATTTCTTCAGTACCTCCCATGTCAGATAAATCAATTACGACAAATTATGAAACTAAAGAAAAAAAAATTTTTTTTTATTTCCCCTTAAAACAAGGGTTTTTTATATGTGCGATCGACTGAATGTTTCATATTGTTGAACATTCAAATTTTATATGATTGTTTCTTTTTTAAGTTGCGCATTTAGTCATTTATTTGTATCACTTTTTTTTATGCACATATCTATTTGAATTACATTATTAGCTAAACATATAAGTTATCAATATTCCGGAGCAAAAAATAAATTAATACGTACTGAGTACTATTTGACATTATTACTTTAGAAATAAACCATTTATTCCTTCTAAATACATAGTTATATAAGGATTTATAAAGTACAGTCGTCCCCCCTTAATAGTCACACCCCTCGGGACTAAAAATAAAAAAGTGTAATTATAATAAAAAGTTACTATACAGGGGGATTTTTATATGTTGTTACTAAGTGTTGGTTCTGAAAGTGATTATAAAGGGTTTTTTTATATAGCATTAATAGGTATTGGTTCTTACGAAATGTGTGCTTATAATGAGGGATTTATATGATGTGACTGTACAGGGAGTGACTATAGAGAGGTACGATTTCTTTTCTTTATACATTTATATAGCTGTATTACTTATATGAATAAATATGATAAAAAATAAAGATTAAATTTGCAAAATTATTTTAATATTCTTCCTATATATAACCAATTTAAAAAATTTAAAGTTAAAATTTATCATATTTGTTTTTATTTTATCAATTAGTATTTGAGCTTTTAAAATGATCATTTTAATATAGTAATTACATTATATTAGTTAAAATAAATCTGTTATATTTTATTGGTTAGCAAGCTTGTCCTTAATTTTAAATTTTTTTATATTAAATAAATTTTTTTTTGTATTTAAATATAAAATATATATAATAAATAAATTAATTTTTGATTAATTTTACATTAATTTTAATGATTAATATATTTATACATAAATTAGTTTTTAAATTCGTTTTTATTAATTAAAATTTTAAATTATAAGAAAAGTATCATGATTAGCGAATATTACCAGAATTTCTCTCAGTGTAACTAACAAAAAATTACCAGCATATGTATTTTTAGCCAGCGTTATAACATTACGTATGACATTATAAAATTAATCAAATAAACATGACAAATAGGATTTCATATCTGAAAAAACATATAATATTAGTAAAAACAAAATTATTTTTTTTAATACTAATTTTTATTATTAAAATATGTCTAATATTACTTTTGATACTAACTTTTTTATGAAAGATCTTAAGATTTTTAAAATTTGAAAACTCTAATTATATTAAAATTGAAAAAAAGAAACTTCGTTATTGCTGAGTTTCTTTTCTTTCAAATCCCAAAATTTTTTGGCTTGTTAAACATCTAAATGTTGAATACAACAAAGTTTTCTCAAAAGATATTTCTTTACAAAACAACTTTCTTAATAATAACTTTATCAAAAATATTATAAAACTATTTCATACATATTCATGAAACTAATACTAAAAACTATAAAATAAAATACATCTAAGATTTAATTATCAATGCTTTATCAAATAATAATTTAACTCAAGAAAATGATAATATTGTCTTCTTAACAAACAATGAAGATTTTACACAAAATATGGATACTGTGAATGAGTAAATGTGATGCAGCTTATGGGGTGCAGAAGATCAACATAAACAATATATATGATATGTCAGATATATGTGACATAACTAACATATTAGATATAGTTGACATATTAGATATAGTTAATATATTAGACATAGTTAATATATTAGATATAGTTGACATATTAAACATGTTAGTTATATTTCTTTATGTAATTTATTTATATAAATAGGTAGCATTTTAGTTCATGTAAAAAGACAGACAGATAGGAACTTGACAAATTAGTTTTAGTAGTTTTAGAGGTAACTAGCCTATCATGTTATATTTTTATTTTAGTAATTCATTTCTTTCTTTTCTTATTTTATTTTCTTATTTTCTTTTATTTCTTTTCTTTTTTTTTATTATTTACTTATGAATAAACATATTATTTTATAATCATAAATTATTGGCAATCTGTTGAATTATTGTTCAACGTAATAGTATAAACACTTTTAATAATCAGTCTGGAATAAAACTCGTTAATTGTTAAAAGATTACTGCTCAATTAAAAGAATAAACTGCTTAAACATCCTGTCTAACAGTTGTAGTTCGCAAGAATTATACGTTAACAATACTCTTAATAATGATAATACGCAAATAGACAAAAATATTATTAGACATAATCACTTTTCTAACTCACTTTCTTTTTTAACAAATAGCTCTATCTTTAATATCAACTTCATTTTTATTACTTACAAATAATATGTTAAAATTAATAAATAACAATTATAATAATATATTAAAGTCAACAAATAAATAAAATAATATGATCAAAAATAAACAATTTCAATTTATAGATATATAATTATATAAATCTAAAAAGAAAATAATCATAAACAATAATTTATCAAAAAATAATTTATATCATTTAATTAAAAATACCTCTTACATAAAAGTTAATTATAATAAAGGTCACATATTTATATCAATTCTTACATTTATAATAAAAAGAGAAAATAAAAATGACAAATTAAATTTATTGTATAGTATTTTTAAATATTAATCAAGCTTTATTAATATTAACTAGTATTTCTATAATAATAATACACAAATTTTTATTGAATTCAATAATATAAAACTTTTATTAGAAATAGTTGATAAAACTATTTTACAATATCCAGATATTCTATTAATATTAAAAGCAAATATATTTTTTTTGCATTACTAATAATACATCTATCTTTAGACTTAAATAAAGTTATCCTACATATAAAATAATATATCTACTATATTTTATCATATTATAGTATTATTAAATATTAAAGATAAATTTAGAAACTATTACGATTTATTATATGATATAATAATATTTTATCAAACTTAGTAAATCTAAACAAATAAATTTTATATAGGCTTATAAGATCAATAAATAAATTATTAAATATACTTATATAGATACTTCAATTAAAGAATTAAAAGCAAAAAATAATTATTCAGTAAATTTTAAAGGATTTTTCAATAAAACTTTATCAGTAAAAGCTTTTAGGATATTATATTATTTCAAAGTTAGTTCTTATTACTTTTATAATAATATAGCTTATGCTATTTTTTTTTTCAAAAAGTGATATATATAATGCTTGTTATTAATAGCTCTCATATAATACATATATACTTAATGAAAAATCTAAAATATTTAATTGATCATATATTATAAATGAATTTAATC